CTGATCAGTGGGTATGGGGCAAATAGTCCACAGAGGTGAGCCCATCCCTCGTGCCAGAGGGGTATGGAACTGTATTTTTCTGATAGGGAGTGAAGATGAAAGTAGATCATTGAGCACAAGTCCGGAGAAGACTGCAGAGTCCAGCGATGGTCCTCGGCCTCCTGCAGCCCAAGTTGCTTGGGCTGGCTTTCCTAGGCCCCCTCCTCTCTACCAGCCCTGCCCCCACGACAGCTCACCTGTCTGCGGGGTAACCCAGGAATAGGTAGCCGGAGGCAAAGCCCAAGATGAAGAGGATCTGCTCCAGGATCACCTGCCAGCCCAGGTCACACACCAGATCCCACTGGGGGCGTGAGAAAGGTGCAGTGGGCGTGAGGTCCCGCCCTCGCCGCCCTCGGCCCGCCCCCGCCCCCGCCCCGCCCCGCACCCGCTTGGCCCGGCAGCCTCACCTGGCCGATGGCATTAGTGGTGAGCACTGGAAGCCCGTTATAGTCCCAGTCCTTGAGGCAGTGGTTGAAGTCCGGCGGGGCGAAGCCGCTGCACGCGGGGTCCGTGCTGGTGGCGACGCGGTTGGCTGTGCTCGCTGCTACAGCCGCGCTAGCTGCGACGCTGACGCCACTGGCATTGGGGGGCTGCTCCCAGCCCGAGGCATTGGGGGGGAAGGCCCCATAGTGGCAATGCAGTGGGGGCGCCAGCGTGAAGATGGGGTCCGAGGCCAAACCAAGCGCCACGAAGAGCATGGGCAGGCAACACAGGCCGAGCTGCAGCTGCTGGCCGCCGCCCAGCGCCCCCACCTGGGCGAGCAGCGCCTCAAAGCTGAGGGGGCCTGGGGGCACGGCCAGCGACAGGCTGCTGCCCAGCCCGTCGCCGCCCGCGTCGCCCTCCCCTTCCCGCTCGCGCTCACGCTCACCCTGCAGCTGCTCGGTGGGCACCGCGTCTCCGAGGGTCCCGACCTGCTGCGGGGGGGGGGTGGAGGGTGAAGCGGAGAGCGACGCGGAGGGGGCGGGCGGACGCTGGAGCGAGGCCATGGGAGGGGCGGGGGCGCGCAGGAGGGCTCGGCCGGAGGGGCAGGGGTGGGTGCGGAGCGGATGGCGTCGCCCCCTGGGGGAGCGGGCACTTACTCCATTGGAGCCGGTGTGGATCTCTACTGTGCTGTCGATTTTGCTGCCGCCCCCGCCATTGGGCTCGGGGGTCCCGGTGGCCACCCGGGGAGCCAGCTTGCCGACCGCAGGGGCCCTCCCGGCCCGCGCCGAATGCCCGGACACTGAGGGCTCAAAGAGACCCCGGTCTGCAGCTCTGCAGCCGTGGGCGCCACCTCAGTCTCTGCGCTTTCTCCGTTGCTTTCCCCTCCCCTTCCTTCAGATTCTCCTCCCCTTCCTACGTCAGCAGAACCTTCGGTCCAGACTCTTCGTCAGAGAGAGGAAGGGGGGCCAGGGCCCAGGGGAGGGGGGCCCTGGGGGCTCTGTCGTCTGCTCCGTGGGCCTGCAGGCCATTGCGGTAAAAAAGGCAAAAAGGCTGAAGGATAGTAGGTAGCCGAGCCAGATGCCAGAGGTTCCTCCTTTGCTTCCAGTTCTTCCCCATCATACATTCATTAGTAGCAACATTTATTAAGTGCCTACTATGTTCCAGGCCTTGTACTGGGCTGTGGTGATAACAGTGCCAACCAAACCAACTTGGAGGAGTTTACTTGCAGAGAAGCAGCCATGTAAACTCGCAATTAGAAAGCGTTTATGCATATGGAGGCTTAGCGCTGTGCTCCACTTCAGACCTCTACAAGGAGCTGCCTTCTCCGGTTTTCACCACTCCATCCTGGTTGAATCTCCATCATTTTTTCAACAGTGTTTGGCACTGTTGGCCCTTCCTTTCAATACTTTTTCTCTTAGCTGGTAAGTCCCACATTCCCCTGGCCTTCTTTCTTCTGCTCCTGTTTTCATGGCAAGCACATCCTCTTCCTTACCACCACTCAGTGTCTGCAGTCCTCAGAGACTTGGTCTGAGGCCCTCCCTTCATTTCACTCTCGTTTCCACCTTGGTGTCTCACTCTGCTCACGGCTTCAAGTGCTGCCAACACGTATGAGGCACACCTGAGTCTCTGCTTTGCATCTCCTGCTCCTGCCTGCCTTCTGAGCCCTGGTCCACGAAGCAACCGCTTGTTGGACCTCTTACTTTGGATGTCTCACAGGAACCTCAAATTCAATGTGACTAAGACTAAATTCATGTTCTTCCCTCCTCTAACATGGTTATCTCCTAGTGCTTCCTTCTGCAGCAAAGGAAGAAGCTACGGCCAGGCACTCATGTGACAGTCCTTGGACTTCTCTCTTCCTTATGTCAAATCCTCCTGTCCATTTTAATTCTTGTATAGTTCTCGAATATTCTGCTCCTCTCCCCTACCACATGTGCACACCACTGTACCCTCCTAATGCTGGGCTTGTGTTCTGCATCCACTTTGTTTCTATCCCTTTCCCCATCTGTTACTTATGATGCAGATGGAATGATCTTCTCAGAATGTAGGTCTGATTGTATCCCTTTCCTGCTTCATTACCTTCATCATGGTAAGTATTCTTGACTCACAGATGGTGCTGTATGCATGATCACATGTTCTCTGAAGTTCCATTTTACTTCTTCCTCCAGACTCTCTGCCCTCCAGCCACTTGGCTTTCTTTCAGTATTTCCCATACTACAGGATCTTTGCACAAGTTGGTTTCTATGCCTAGAAGGCCTTTTAGTCAAATTATCTTCATCCTTCAGCCTCAGAGAAGCCTTCTCTAACCCCTACTACTACTCAGTGTGGTTGACGGATGAACAGCATCCCTGACACTTGTGAGATTGTTACAAATGCACAATCTTGTCTCACCCAGACCTTTCAGCCATAATCTGTGTTTTAATTAGGTCCCTGGTTGTATGTTCATTAGTTAGAGGTGACTTTCTCTAAGAGATCTGGTACCTGATGGGTACTTTAGTTTTGAATCCCAGGTAAGGGTTGGAAAGGAATGTCCTGTCAAGTCTCAGCTAAGAAATCATTCCCCTTTCTCACCACTGAATCTCACCTTCAACAGTTTGTCTCCTCGGCTCAGAAAATTCCGAAATACAGGAAACCCTTTTTTTTTCAGTGCATTGAACAGCCTCCTACCATCTTCCCTCCTCCAACTCCTTTTTGTATCTCCTCTAGAATTACTATGATCACAGCCAACATTCCTTGGGGATATATTTGCTTACGTCTTCTGTTTGTTTTGGAGTAATAGTTTCTTAATTTTATCTGGTCCTAGACCATTTACATGCATTTTCTTTTTAGGGCCTCACAACCTTGTAAGACCATTATCATCATTATCACATTAACAGTGAGACAGGACTCAGAGCCTGGCACGACCTACCCACAGACACACGTGTGGCCGATCTGAGATCTGAACTGAAACCTGACTCCAATTCCAGGCTCCTTTCTCTCCCTCTCTGGTACTGGGGATCTTACCAACCACCCAGGGCAGCTCTACCGCTGACCTACATCCCTAGCCCTTTCTATATTTTTGAAATAGTGTGTCACTAAGTTGCTCAGGCTGACATTGAAGTTGTGATCCTCCTGCCTCATCTTCCCAAGTAGCTAGGATTATAGGTGTATGCCACCACTCTCAGCTCAGGCTTATCTCTTGAAATTCTGTCTGGAAGATGGGAGATGGCCTTGAACACATAGGGGTGATTTTTCTTTTTTTGGGGGGGGTACCGGGAACCAAACTCAGGACCTTGTGCTTGCCAGGCAGGTGCAGCGCCACTGAGGGGATTTTTTCTTGGCCCCAGAATCTGGAAAAGTTCTCCTTGAGAGTGAAAGAAAGGAGTCCAAAATGAATGAGACATATGCATAAAGGTGTCGTGATGCTAAGATTGTGGCTGGAATTTGAGGTGACCAGGTCACTGTGATGCCAGATTCTTGGGAAAGCAGAACCTAAGAAGTGGGTCTGGAGCCCAGACTTCTTCCCTTGTGGTAAATGGCTGAGTGATCCCTCATATAGGCCATGGGCCTTGCTTTCAGCAAAGTACTAGGTCTATGGATTTTCAACCCGTTGCACTCACCTGCCAGCTCAGCTCCTTTTATCCGGGAGGGTGACAAGTGGGAAGCATGGGGAGTGGAGTGTAAGGGCCAGACTCTCCTAGAGTCATCTGAGGAAGAGGGCACCAGGTTAGCAGTAGTGGTTTCCAGAGCTGGCCTGTGGTCCAGCACTGAGCATGGCTCACTAGTTGGGGTGACCTCTGAAGAGGCACCTTCACGTACCGCCCACCTCTTAACCACATCTGCATCTCTCTAACGACATCATCTGACAATGAAGTCTTGGAGGGAGGCCCCAGGTCAGCTATCTGACCGCTGCCTTGGAACACTAGTCCCAGACCCATTTTGGTTCTCGTCTTCCAGGGCAAGCTCAGGCACCTCCCAATCTTCCTGGCTACTCTTCTTCCTTGGTCTCTCTCCTTGCTCTCTTCACATTGCCCTGTTGATTCCCACCAACAGCTACGCAATCTGGTGGCTTTATTTTTGTGTTTTTGAGGCAGGGTCTTGCTATGAAGTTCAGACTGGCCTTGAACTATGTAGCCCAGGCTGGCCTCGAACTTGCAGTGATCCACCTGCCTCAGCCTCCTGAGTGCTGGGACTGTAGACGTGCATCACCATGCCTGGCCTTGGCTTTATTGTTTTTTTAAACACATTGAACTGACTTGTTGAGGTCCAGTCCACTTGGACTCAAGTGCACAGGGCACACTCACTATGCACCCTTAGAACTCTGCCTTGTCTGACACAGGGAGCTAACATCCAGTCCACTGAATTATTTATTTATTTTCTTTTTTGGTACCGGGGATCGAACTCAGGTCCTTGCGCTTGCAAGGCAGGCGACGGAACCACTGGGCTAAATCCCCGGCCCAACTGAATAACTGAAGCAGCAAAATTTCTCTTCATAACGTGTGTTCGTTCCATAGACACGGTGGGCCGACCCCTCCCGTCCCCCCAGTCATTTGAGTCAGGGAACCAGAACTCAGGCTTTATTGAGATGCACGCCCATGCCAAAGGCCAAGCTCCCCAACCTTCTGAGAGGAGGCGCCCTTGGGTGTCCCAGACCTTCACATTCTGGGCAGTCAACGTTGAGGTCTCTGTTCCCCCAACTATCAGTGTGGTGTTGATGTTCTGGAGCCAAGGGGCAGGATAAGAGGCTCTGTGCGGCCCTTAGTTTCCACCACCCGATTCTGTGTGCACCAGACTTTCAGAGGTGGAAGGCAGTGCCGGAGCCTCCACCAGAGGCTAGAGAGGAAAATCCAGTTCCTTCCTGTCCTGACAAAGCAGGGAATAACATTAAATATAAATAATTTATATAAAATGGCTCGTACAAAAAGCTGTGGGGAAGGGGGAAGAGATGCCTATGAGAGGCTGAGATGACCAGAAGGGCGGAGAAGGGGAGACATGCCTCCCCTTCCTAAAACAGATTCCTTAGCCATCCAAGACTTGGAGGGTGGCTCTGGCAGGCAGGGAAGGGAAGGTTGTGCCAATGCAGGCTCAAGGGGCCAGACTGGTGAGCAGGGTGGTAAATTGCAGGGCCTGCCCTGATAGTTCTGCCACACATCGCGCCATCTCCTGGGCTGCAGGGCCAGATGGATAGCCCAGGGCTGCCCCCTTGACAGCCAGGACAGTGGCCTGCAAGGCTTGGCCCAGTGCTGTGCCTGCAGCCCCAACCTGTGCTCGGAGAGGAGCAGAGGCTGCCAGCCGGCCCAGGGTGTCCCCAACAAACACCAGGCGGTGAGCAGCCACCACCACCCGCTTGCCGTGGGGCACGAAGAGGCGTGGGGGCTGGTTGGCCTGGGTGCTGGACATGAGGGTTGCCACGGCCGCCTGCAGTGCTGAGTAGTGGCTCTGGCACTGCCCTGCATAGAAGTGCAAGAGCTGTTGGTCTCCGGTGGACAGAACCAGCGGCTCCCCTGGGGAAAGGGCTTCCTGAGGAACAAGAGGAGGTAGTGGGAACGTGCTCATCAGTGCCTCTTCCTCCCTCCATTCCTCTTTCCTTTATTCTTGAGGGCAAACCCTTTGGCCCACCAGAAAGTTTAGATCCTTGAATGGCAGGGAAGTGCCCAGAGTTGATGTCAGATAGATCTGGATTCAGATAACATCAAACTTGACTTCAGGTAAGTCTCTGAAATTCTTTGGTTCCCTATCTCAAAACACATGGAGTCTAGGCCTAGGCTACAGGGCATGGTGGAGCACTTGCTTAGCACGCCTGAGGCCCATGTTCAATCTCCAGCCCGAAGACAGACTCTAGGTACTGCACTGTCCAATAAAAACAATGCAAACTACTTGTGTAATTTAAAAATTTTTAGTTGCCACATTAAGTAAAACAAACTAATATTACATATTTTGTTGAACTCTATAAAAGTTGACAATTTCTGCATGTAATCAGTATGAACTTTCTTTCATATTTAGTTGGGAAAATCTGACATGCATTTTATATTTAGAGTGCATTTCAATTCAGACCAGCCACATCTCGGGGGCTTCAGTTACAGGTGGCAACTCTACAGGAAAATGCAATTTTTTGTTTTCTTGAGACAGGGTGTCACTATGCAGTTCAGGCTGGCCTTTAACTCACTATGTAGCCCAGGCTGGCCTTGAACTTGCAGCAGTCCTCCTGCCTCAGCCTCCTGAGTGCTAGGACGATAGGTGTGTGCCACCACTACTGGCCAAGGCCTCAGAAAGCTTCAGTGAACACTGAGATAACACAGGGAAAGGGCTTGGCACAATGTGGTGCACATGGTAAGAACCCTGTGGCATTTGCGGCAAATGTGCTTGATGTTGATGCATGCAGTAGGCCTAGTACAGGTCTAGCAGTTGGTTAATACTTGGTAAAAGGTAGTTATTGTGTTATTTCATTCTATGCTGGGTCAGGAAACTACTTCACTTTCCTGAGGCCCACAGAGATTAACTGTTTGCTTTGGAACCAGTGGCGTCTTAGTGGTGGATCTGGGATTAGGAGCCAGGTTTCTTAGGAACCCAGGAATTCACAATTGGAAGGAGCCTTAGAATTCAGTTGAAAGGAGGCTTAGAAGTCACCAGGCCCAGCTGTGACCCACAGTCCAGAAACTTTTTTTTGCTCCCTGGGCTGATGACTTTCTGATTCTTCAACACATTCTTTCCCCTCTTGCTAAGTTCCTAATATCCTTTTCCAAGTTTCAGTGCCCTCCGGTTGCATTCTCACTCCTCTCCCTGCTTTGTGTGAATTCTTACCCTCATCCTAACCTGTTTCTCTCAAGGTCTGACTAAGAATACTCCTTCCCCAGCCCCCTTCTGGCACCCCCTCCACCAGACTTACCTGCTGCTCTGGCAACCCCCTCTCCAGCGCCTCAGGATCCTCTGGAAAAGCTTTATCCAGAGGCCTAGATTCCTGAGCTTTATCCATACCCTGTAGAGGGGGATCAGGCCTCAGTGCAGGGGCCAGGGGTCTGGGTGGGGAGCCTCATGGTCTTTTTGTCCCTCCCCAGTACCCTTTCCTTCCTGAGGGTGCCACCAGGGGTTGCAGTCCCTTGACTGCAGGTAAGATAGGGTTTGGGAGACCGTGTGGCACTAGTACAAGTGATGTGGTTGAGAGTTCCAGGGTGCTGGGTGGAGGGGGAAAAGGGAGGCAGAAAGGCTCTGGGCCTGAGATCTTCCCCTTGGTTCTCTGGGGCCATTCCTGGCAGGATCCTGGTGAGGCTGCCAGGGAGGAGCTCACCTTCAGGTGGACGTAGTCGTACTCCTCTGCTATTGGGATGCCTTCATACTCATTGTGGGGTCCTGCAGGATCGTCCTCCACCTCTCTGCCCTCTGGATTCCCCTCTACCTTGAGGCCCCCATAGCCAGGAAGGCGGGGTGGGGGTGGGGGTAGAGGCCGGTCCTGGATACTGCCTTTTCGGCCTGGGGCAGGAGAGGGAGCCGGAGAAGGGATGGGAGCCTCAGGGACAGGCAGGGCAGGCAGAGGGCGCCGAGACAGGCTTTCAGCAGAGGGCAGCCTGGGCCTGTGTGGGGGTGGGGGGCTTCTGGGCAGAAGCCCAGCCAGGGTGTCCAGGTCATTGGAGGCTGGGGCTCCTGGGGGCTCTGGAGAAGGGGGTGCCTCAGGCCCCAGCAGGGGCACATCGTAGATGCCCTCATCAGTATCCCCGCCCTCTCCATTTGTAAGTTCCTCAGGTGCTTCATACAGGTTGAGGAGGGCTGATGCCCGTTTCAGGTTGGAGGGGGCAGCATAGAGAGGTGGCCCTTGTTCCCGGCCCCCTTCCCACTCCAGATCTGGCTCCAGCTCTGTGGGAAGCTTTGGGGCCAGAGGCACATCATAGGTAGCGTCAGCCTCTCCAGGAGGCTGAGGGGCAACCGGAGCCAAAGGGCGGGAAAAAGAGGCTGGGGAGTCATAGGGGTCACTGGAGGGAGTCCGGAGGGCAGTGGAGGGCACATCATAGACCTAGAGAGAGATTGGTGAGTTACCCTTAGCTTAGCAGTGCACTTTTCCTCGCCCAACATCCACTCCCAACATCGGCTAGCCCTCACCTCTAAGGCATCTCCACTGCCTCTGGGGACCTTGTAGATGGGGTCAGGAGAGGGTGGGCAGGATCCAGACAGAGGTCCTGTGGCAGGACAGGGCCGGGCTGGGGGTGGTACCACATACACCTAGAGGCGTAAGACAGGTGGGTGGGTGAGGAACCCAGTGGAGGGGCCAAAGAACCAGACAATGTCATGTCAGACTTAGAGGAGCTTAGAGATCTTCCACCCTATGCTGACAGAGACATAGAGCTAAGAAGGGGGTGGCAGACAGGCTTCCGCCAACAGAGTGAAAAGCCAGTCCAGAGGATCCCCTGCCTGCCTTGGGGGTGGGGAGACTCCAGTGCTCACCTCTTGCTCCTCATTGTCACGCTCTGGGGGCGGGTATGGTGAGCCAGCCTGGGTGGAGGGTGCCAGGGAGAGGCTGGGTTTGGGTGCTGGGCCAGCAGGGAGGAGCTTCACTCTGTTGGCGGGCACAATGCCCTGCTGGCCATGCAGGGAGCAGAGGCACCAGCCATCCAGTCCGCCAGCGCCCTCCCTTTGCAGGACCCGTAGAACATCTCCTCGGCGGAAAGACAGCTCCTGGGGGGACTCAGCGGTGTTGTCGTACAGTGCCCGGGCCAGCTGGGCCTGGTGGATGAGGGAGAAGTGAGGGTAAGGGTCTTCACACATGCAGCAGTCCTGTCAAGCTGCACATTTCCTTCAAGCTGAAAATTTCCCTCCTGACTTGGCTGCTCCTTAGGGCCCTGTGTTGTCTCTGGCTTCATCTCCAGTGCTCTCCATTCCATTCTTGGAAGGCGCTCTTTCTGGCTTCAGGGCCTTTGTAGATGCCTTTTTCCCTACTTACAATGCTCTTCTCCTAATTCTATCTGACCAGCGCCTCTTTTTATCTATTTTTTGCTTACTTTTCCGCATTCTTTTTCCCACCTCATTCTCCATGTCGAGTGCTAAAGAAAGGTGGAAAGGCATAGAGTTAGTTGCTTGAATTCAGACCACAGATAGTGCAGGACAGGGAGCAGAGAGAGGTGGGGGTGCTGAGGGCTCCTCTGCGTGTTAGGTTTGAATTCTGTGCAGTGGGGCCAAACTTCTAGGCCTTGCAGTTGCAGGAACCCAGGCCTGAGTTGCTGATAGAATGACTGACTACGGGTGTGGCCACCCCTGCTCTATTCCCCTCTAGGGGCCCAGCTAACTTGTGAGGGAATGGCTGGCTTAATGGGGGTAGCAGGGACCGCTGCGCTCTCTGGGAGGCCTCCTCCCACTGTCCCAACGTGCCAGCTGTCTCCTCCCTTTGTCCCCAGTCCCTGGAAAGTGGCCTGAGGCAGGCTGACATCACCTCCTCTCCTGCTATATTCTTTCTCCCTGCCCGATCACCCTCCTTTGCTCTATTTGGCCCTGTCCTCCATTCCCTTCTAGAGACGGGCCTCCTTGGGTCCCTTGCCTCCCATTTTCCTTGGCCCGCTTGTTCCTTTGAGCCTCCCGATACAAACCCCTGCCAGCCAGCAGCGGCCATCTGTTCCCGCCCAGAAAAGAGCAGATAGGTCTGGGGCTACACTTGCCCCCTCCCCTCCATTCAGCCGCAGCCTCTAGGAAGAAAGAAAATGGGGAGGGGGAGGGGCGAGCCCACAACCAGAAGGAGCAGGCCATGGGGAGTGAGACCAGGACACAGCCTCTGGGAAAGAAAGGGATCACGGACGGAGGCAGTGAGAAGGCAGAAATAAAAGCGTCAGGAGCGCGGGGCAGGCTGGGGAGGCCCGTGCCCGGGGGTCCTCCTCTCCCCAGTGGACTCACCGACGTGGCAATAGCCATGGCCTCAACCTCCAGCACCGCCTGCTTCAGGCCAGGCTCGGGTTCAATGTCTTCAGCTTTGGCTGCCCGGCACCATGGTTCGCGGTCTGCACGCGAGGAGGCGGCCTCCGGCTGTGGCGCTTGAGCAGGGGTCTCCGCCAAGGTTGGAGGAGAAAGAAAACCCACAAAACTTCCCAAATGGGAGGCAGCTTGGCCAGGCAGGAGGAGGAGCGGGGCGGGCTGGGCGTCGCTGCGGGATCTCATCCAAGAGGCGCGCTCTGCACTGTCCCCACGGACCAGCCGGACCCGGAGCCGCCTGTCCTAGGCTGCAGCGGCCTCCCGGGCCCCGTGGGCCGAAAGTGCCCTTCCACGGTCGGCGACGCGAGAGGAGTCAAGGAGAGGCGGTGCGCGCTGGAGCTGTGCTCGACGGCCCTCCAGGCCTCAAGGCAGCCCCGAGGCGGAGAGGCGGCCCGGGCGGCTGGGCTGGACGGGCGAGTTTGGGGCCACTCCCGGCCCGGGGGCCGCACCAGCGAGTAGTGCTCCCCGGGTTGCGGTCCGGGGCCCAGTGGTGGGACCTGCTTCGAGGCAGGAGGAGCGAGCACCTGGCCGGCCGTCCCTCTTCAAATTCGCGCGAGTTGGCGAGAGGCCAGGCTGACGCCACAGGCCTCCGGGAGCGCGGCCATCGGGCTGGCGGCAATTTTCTTGTCCACACCTCGCACCCGCGCGCACAGCACGTCCCGGGCTCTGGCGTCTCCGCGACGGCGGGCGGCCGGGCCTGCACGGAGCAGCGCGCGGGCACAGCGGGACTAGGCGGGACGGCCTTCCTCACGCGCGGCCCGAGCCAGGACCCGGGGGCCCGACCCCGGCTACCTCGAGGCCCAGAGCTCCCGCCCCCGCCCCGAACCCGCGCACACACGCACGCTCCCGCGGCGCGCCCCAGAGGTCGGGCAGCTCCCAGGTGTCTTTGGGGACGCAGAGAAAGGCAGCAAAGCGACAGAGGGAGTAAAGAGAAGGCACAGGAGGAGCTGGGGCTGGGGTCCCGTGGGCTCGCCTAGGCTTGGAGTTGCGGGGGGATACTGAGAAGTCTGGGGAGGCTCCGGGGGTCGCGCGCGGCTCCCCTTTCCCCTGGCTCCCTCTCACTGCGCTCTTTTCTCCTCCCCTCGAGCCCTCTCCTCCCGGGCGTGGGGCTCAGTGCTGGGGATTAAGAGAAAGGAGGGAGGGGAAAAAGGAGAGGAAGGGAGGGGGCGGAGGAGTAAAAGGGGACGATCCTTCCAAAGGCGGTGTTGAGTTTCAGCCCGGGACCCTCGGGCCAAGCTGCTCGCCTCACCCAGTCCTCTTCGGCGCAAGCTTCCTTCGGATTTCGCAGCAGACCTCCGGGGGTTCTCGTCGGCTCCCTCCTGGGAGCGTCCTCTCCCCGACACGCCCCCGCTTACCCCCGCCGGCCCTGTGCTTCCCTTTCATTAGCCCCACATCTGTCTCGCCTGGGAGGGAGCGCGCTCCTTCCGCCTTGCTGGGGTCCTCAGCAGAGCTCCTTGGTGCTGCCTCTGCAGGGGTGGCAGCGCTACCCGGGCGATCTTGTGAGGCACAGGCCGGAAGTCTGGCTCTGGGAATGGATTCTGGCCCAGGGAGAGAACACGAAGCCTGAGCGTCTGGTCCCAGATCTGCGGGAGAGCCGGTTGGACGGCCTTTTGGCCTCCTGTGCCAGTCTGGGCCTGCCCCGTCTTCAGCCTGGCTAGCTCTTGCTGCTGCAGAGATTTGAGAGCCACCGCACAAAAGGGCAGAACTCTTTCAGAGCGGCTGGGATCTAACCTCCAAAGAGGTCAGCCCAGGCTTGGCTCTTAGCCTTCCACGCCTCTCCTGCCCACCTCTCTCCAACCACCCTCTTCCCTGGATCTTTGTTTTGGGGGACACCTCACAGCCTTTCAGAGGATTGAGGGAAACTTTTTCCATTTTTGAGGTTCTTGGTATCTAAAAAAGCAAGATGCTCAATGGAGTCGAAAAGCTGCAGCTTGTTTTCAATATTTACATTTTACAAATGAACACTTCAAACTCATAAAATTGACAGTGTATGACCTCATTTGGTGATAACATCAGAGGTCAATTTAACGCCCTTTGTGAACGTGAGGTGGGGACTGACCTCCACACCACCCATATTCCACTCCGTCACACATTCAGGCATTTTCCAGGCATGCATGTGGGGAGCGTGGCTGCCCCAGCCCTTTTCTATCCCAGTGCCTGGGCACCTATGAAGAACCTTCTACATAGGACAGTGGGTTAGGGAGAGATTCTGGGGTGAACATGGGGATGAACATGGGCTTGGCTCTCTCTCAGTGATGGAGTATGGATGCGGACATGGGCTTGGAAATTTTTTTTTTTTTTTTTTTGAGACAGGGTCTTGCTATGTAGTTCAGGCTGGCTTCAAACTCATTATGTAGCTCAGGCTGGCCTCAAACTCACGGTGATACTCCTGCCTCAGGCTCCTGAGTACTGGGAAAACAGGCGTGTGCCACCACGGCTGGCCCTGGCCTGGAAATTTTAAACTGACTTATTCTTTATTAGAATGTGAAGGAAGTTTCAAATTTCCAGAAACTTCTGAAGGGAGACCTCTCCATCCCAGCTGCAGTCTGGTTGGAGGTTGTCACTAGGGAAGACTTTCCATCCTCCTTTAAATCCCAGTCCTGGGGGGCTTAGCTGCCTGGCACACAGACATACAGCTGCTAGGCAATGACTGGGTATGACTTCTGCCTGGGGTCTGCCAAGGCAAATGAGGGTCCAAAGTGGAGGTGTGCAGGCTGTCTCCAAAAATGGCACAGAGAAATAGATGGAGACCAGAAGAGGCAAAGCAGGAAGGAAGCTGCTCAGACCAGGCAAAATGGTGGCTCAGGAGATGGGAAATGGGGCTCAGTACATGGGGAACATAGGTAAGGAACAGTGGAGTCCAAACCAGCCAGGAGGTGGGGGGGAAGACTGCTTCTGGAATTCCCAGGCATGGAAGAGAGCCAATCGTGGGAGTGAGTCCTGGTTTATTAGCTGTGTGACCTTGGTTTGAGCCTTTTCTTTTTTTTTTTTTTTGGTGCCAGGGATCGAACTTGGGTCCTTGCACTTGCACAGCAGGCAATGAAACCACTGAGCCAAATCCCCAGCCCCAACCTTGGTAAAGTTATAGAACATCTCAGTTTTTTACCTGTAACAGTGACTTTGATGAAGTGTAAATATATGGAAAATGTCTAGCACACTACTTGGGCTAATCACCTTTCTATCACTGCGACAAAATAACTGGGAAAAACAACTTCAAGGAGGAAAGGCTTATTTTGGCTCATGGTTTCAAATGTTTCAGTCCATGGTTGATGGCTCCAAGACAGAAACATCATGGTGGAAGGACATGGTGGAGGAAAGCTGCTCACTTCATGGCAGCCAGGAAGCTGAGATAAAGAGCCAGAGAGGAAGGGGCAAGGGACAAGATACGATCTTTCAGCTCACACCCCCATGACCCACCCTCTTCCAGTAGGCCCTACATCCTAAGTTTGCATCACTTCCCAATACCATCAAATTATGATCTCATCAGTGGATTGCTCCACTGATGAAGACAGAGCCCTTGTGATCCAGTCACCTTCCTAGAGTTTCACCTCTGAACAGATGATACTTTGGGGGAACATTTTAGCTCTGAATCATTATACTATTCTTTTTCCATGCTTTTTCCTCTTTACCTTGGCTTCCTTCTAACTTTCATGAAAGCTGGACTGGTGTCTTTATTGAAGGCAAGAGGAAGCTTTCTCATATACCTTTACCCTCATTTCTGCCCTCACTTTCACAAACAGAGGTTTAAGATGATTCAAATATATTCAGGAAGAGTTCTAGGCTCTGGGTACCCCTGAAGAAAACCCAGGCTGGCTAGGTGGCTAAGACACTAGGAGGGCAGCAGCCTCACCTAGCAGGTCCCACAAGTTTCACCTTTGCCATACTCAGAGAGTAGGAAGGACTCCCACCTAGGTCCCCGACTTCTGGCTCCCTCTTCCCCTTTCCTAGTAGTCAGTGCCCAACCATCTGGTCCCTTCCTCACATTACCTGGATGTTCTTCTTGTCAGGTACTCAGTGATTCTTCTAGCCCCCTTCCCTTTGGGCCTATAGTGCCCAGAGTGCCTGGATTCTTTTTTTTTTTTTTTGGTACCGGGGATCCAACTCAGGTCCTTGCGCTTGCGCAGCAGGCAGCAAAACCACTGAGGTAAATCCCCGGCCCAAATATCTTTTCGGCGTGTGTGTGTGTGTGTGTGTGTGTGTGTGTGTGTGTGTGTATGTGGTACTGGGGAATGAACCCAGGTCCTTGCGCTTGTGAGGCAGGTGGTGGAACCACTGAGCTAAATCCCCGGCCCTGCCTGGATTCTAATTCTGGTTCTGACACTGACAAGTGACCTTGGCTGCCATGTGACCTTTGGAACTTTTATCCTTATCTTTAAAGGACAATAACTGCGGGGATGAAATGAAACCTGGAGCATTGGCTGGTTGTGAGCCTTAAGAGAATGGTGAGCAGAACAGTGCCTGGTCTACCATGTGTAAATGTGGAATAGTTGGAACTATTATTACTGTAGTTATTTGGCATCAGCCCTTCGGGAACGTCAAGAAACTCAAATCATCTAGATCATGCTTGAATCCAGTCAGTACTCTCCCACTGACATTGAAATAAAATCCAAATGCTCCACTATAGACCGCAAGCCTGTAACCTGGTTCCTACCTACCTCATCTCTTGCCACTTCCCCTTCATCTCTTATTTTGCATCATCGCTGTCCTTTCTGTTTCTCAAATATGCCAAGCCCTTTCCCTCCTCTGGGACTCTCCATGTCCTGCCACCCATACCTAGACTATGCTTCCTCCAGACCCTTTTGATCATCACATCAAACGCTACATCCCCAGAAAGGCCTTCCTGGCTTTCTGAGTTAGGGTTGCTCTCCCATTCCCACAGCATCCTATCTCATACCGCTGCTCTGTTTCCTTCATAGCACTTATCATCGTCAGAAATTATCCTGTTTCCTTGTTTATCATCTATCTCCTCTTAAGATATCAGCTTTATGAGGAAGGGACCTTAAATGGATTGTTCTTCTCTACATTCCTAGAATTTAGAATTGTAGCATACAGTATGTGCTCAATAAAAATTTGGTGAGTGGATATGTGAACAGAACCTGGACTGGGGGCAGTGGGTTGTTGTGTTCTTTGTCCTGCTAACTGATTCTCCAAGTGTCCCCCAGGCCAGGGTGGCTTCTACTTGATGGTGGGCTCCTTAGCCTAAGTATTTTTGTAGCTAAAGAAGATATAAAAAATAATTAGCAAAAATATAATTAGCAACCAGTACCTTTATCACTTGCCAATCAGAACATGGGGACAATAGTCCAGAACCTATGGCGCACATGCCACAGCAGGCACACAGAGCCCTCCCTGTTGGCACATAAGCCAAGTCACCCCAGCAGCCAAGCATCAGATAACAGTTGTTTTTTCTAAACTAAAACCTCAGCATTCAGGTTTAATTGCAGTGTTGGCACTTTGTGATAACTATGTGAGTTTTGTGTTGCAGTTTGGGCAATCGGGCTCTAAAAGTTTTGCCATCACTAGTCTAGAGGTCTCTGTCCATGCCATTCACCCTTTAGTTGCTCAATCATAGGGAGGTGTGTGTGGGGGCTCTCAAGGCTGAGAGTAGCATCTGCTTACCAGAAGGTGAGGAAGCGTTTGAACATTTTAATATAACCCAGCATGACTTAAGGTTAGTGATGTGAGCTTGGTTACGTAAGGTTAGATGAAATCCAGAAGACACTTGGGAATTCTGTGGCTTCTGCACTATTTCGAGAGCTGAGGTCCAGAGCAGCTAAGCTGTTGGCACCCTTGAGGGCCTCTAGGTAAACTCCTAGTCCCACCGGGTTCCTACAATGCACATATTCCTAAAAACAAGGAGGGAAGGAAGGGGTGGAGAGAGGGCCCAAGGACAACAACTGATCAAAGGCTGGCCAAAACTTCAAGGTAGCAGATGAAAACTTGAATATCTTTCTAAGAAGGGGCAGGACAGCCACATTGTAACTCCCTGCAAGCCCCAAGCTTTTCCAAGCCAGGGGTTGGAGGTGTATTTCATCACATCTTCCCTGCCCTTACCTACCCTGGATTTTACTTACCAGTTTTCCTGGGGCGGAGGGATAGGAACCCCAGCAAGCCCTTTTTGGCTGCCAGATAAGGCATAGGCAAGAGGGGACTTGTTGGGAGGGTACCTTTGATGTTATGTGCTCGGCCAACTTTCTTTTGTTTCCACGTCCGTCATCCTCCCCATTGCCACCTACCCATCCTTGCACCCCCAAGGATTCCCTGGGCGTTGAAGTGACTCAGGGATTCCAAAACTTGTCACCCCATGAGGAAACCCTCTGGAAAATGTTTCTCATGCCAGGGAGTCACCCTAAAGAGTTCCACAAAGTTACTACCGAGATAAGGACGGAGAATGAGCAAATGGGGTGGAGTGGGGGCGTGTGGGTCAGAGCATAGGTTCTTGGATCAAGCCTGCTAATTATAGGATGGGAAAAGCCAACCCTAGGGGAGACTGTGTGCTTGGAGAGGCCCTCCCTCTGCCTTTCAGGAGTTTCCTCTACTTTGAGCTACAGATGCAGGGAGATACCCCAAAGACCAATCCTAAAGGGCAATGTGCCCAGTAATCCAGGCTGTGTTCTTTCTGCAGGGTCAGCAAGTGAAACAAGCAGCTGGGATTACTTCCAGCTCCTCTGAGAAAGGGGGCAAGATCAGAAGATTTGGGCCAAGGTCAGACTCTGGTTCTGCTCCCTCAGCCCTGGGCTTCTGATTCTTTAGGGGAGACTCATAGAAATCCAGGTCTTCTGAAATGGCACTGCCCTCTAGATCCCATTCTAGGGTTGGGGTTACTCAGGAAGACCAGGATCAACCCTGAGGCCATGTAGCAGACCAGAGGCTGGGGCAGTGGATCCCCGCCAGCAGAGCTGACTGTCCAAGTGGGCAAGGCCCTGTGGCCCTGGGCAGGTAGAGATGAGATCTGTCCAGCCCAAGCCCATCTGTCACCAGCCAACATCCTACACGGGGGCTCCCTTTCCACTTGCCCCCGATGAGGGTTGATATAGCTCTATGCCAGGAGCTTAGATTTGGAGTTGGTCAGGGGCTGGAATGGAAAACGAGTTCAGCTTCTTTCTAAAGTTTTCTAACTTTCACTGGGTCTTAGTTTCCTCATCTGCAGTATGCGGATAACAATTTCTATGTCATGGGTTTATTGTCAGGATAAAATAAGACAATTTGTGTCCAGGGCTTAGCACTGTGTCTGGCACATGTAAGCGCCCAGGAATGAGATTGGCAATAGATAGAAGGGAGATAGATGTCTGGGAGCACCCGGGGTGAGGGTGGGTATGGGAGTAGTGTAACAATATTCCTGGCTTCACTGCTTTTCCTAAGTGGCTCACTCTCCCTGCTGCCACTGGTTTCTCTTGAGGTCCCCCTCCACGGTTCCAGCCCCAAGACTCACCGGAGCAGCTTCTCCTAATTCTCCAGAGTGCCCTCTGACATTTGAACACTTCCTTTCCTCTTCATCTCCTTGGACCCCCATCTCTTGTTCTTCTTTATGACTGTTTTGTCTGAAGCATTTGGAGAATTCTCCCTTACTCTATCTACAGTGTATGTTATTCCTGTTTCTTTTGTTTATTTCCCGAGTCCTTGGTTACTAGAGGAGTATTTTCTGAGGGAAAGCACATGCAAATCAGGAAGCATCATTCTAGAGACAATGTCTGTGTATGAGGGTGTTGGGCCAAGGTCAGACTACAGGTCTGCTGTCGATCCATGGGCTAGGATGAGGGAAAGGCCTGGAGCAAAGTAAGCACTGACCTGCTCTCTGCACAGTCCTCCCCAGCAGGCTGTCCCCTGGGATCAGCCTTCTGGAGCATGCAGTTTTCCCCCTGGCCAGCCCTGCTCCATGCTGCTGAGAATGCTAAGGCTGAGTGGGCTCTCCCCATGGCCTGAGAGGGGCAGCTGTTCCTGCCATGAACCTTGCCCCGAGGCCCCGTGAGTGGAAGTGAGTCCTCCAGCAGGGTCTTAGGCATTCGTCCTCTTCCTTGCTCCACCTTTTCATTTGTGCAATGGGGACAATCATCCACAGCTTCTCCCACCAGGACTTGCCCTTCTGGCCAACAAGCTTTAGGGGTCAAGCTTTACTGGCAGTCCTGTTGGGTGAGGCCTGTGTCTCTATCCCAAGGAAGAGGCCATAGAAAGAGTCAGGATAGGGATAGGATAGTGACTGGAGAGGGCAAAGGGGAGGGAGAAGGTAATAGAAGTCCAAGGGGTTGGGGTCATCCAAGAAAGAAGGGGTCAAGGAGCAAAGGGCATGGGATCAAAGGAGATGGAGAGAAAGAGAAGTGGTCACTAACGTGGGTGGTCGGGGCGTCTGGGAAGAAGGGGAAGAGTGGCGATCTCATGCTAGATAGGAGTAGCAGAGAGCATGGAAAGGAAACCTGTGAAAGGGAGGTCAAGAGACTCCCTAATTCGAGATAGCAAACCAACCAGGGCAATCCCCACAGTGCCAGTTCATAAAGACGTAGAGCAGTGGAACGCTATTGCTTCGACTTCATAACTGGGAAGGTACAAAGACCAAAATTTGCCCAATCAGCTACTAGACTGATAATGAGGGCCATCACGTCTTCCATGAGGGCAGCATTTTAAATAGCTTTTGAAAATGCTTTCAGGCTTTTTTTTTTTTAAATCTTAAGTCACTCCCTCTAAGGGATAGTGGAAATAAATTTGAATAAACAAAACAGGTTTGCTGGAAATAAAACCAGGACTCCTAAACTGCTCCATTCAGACTGCTTCCAGAAGGCTTGTCTGTCAGTCAGGGCAGCACCTGTGGCTGAGTGAGCAGACTGCCAGCATGTACCAGGTGAGGACACTGAGGGCTGGCAGAGGACCTGCTGAAAGGAAGGGGAGCAGTCCTATCATGGAGACAGGGTGTGGGGGAGACCTGGCTCTCAGGTTTGGGATCTCATGGAGCAGCTAGGGGGAGGTTTGGATAGGAGGGAGACCCAGACAGGTGAGAGCCGTTTTCTTCTTGACCTTCCCAGCAGGTGGCTGCATTCATGGCCATGATCCTGGGAATCCACACCCTCAGTTTGCGGGTCCAGAAGGGCTGTATACACAGGCCCAACTGCTGCCCCAGCAAAGGGCAGGACCCTCCTGAGGAGTGGCTGAAGTGGACTACTGTGCCCGTGTCTCCCCTGGAGCCTCCTACCCTTGACCATTACCCAGAATCCTGCAGGGCGAGTGAAGACGGACCCCTCAACAGCAGGGCCATCTCCCCCTGGAGATATGAGTGAGTGTGCTGTCCTCTTCCCGAATGCCTGCCCATGCCTCCCTGTATGTGCTGATATCAGGGTGTGTGTGAGGGACCAGGGGAGTTCCACTCAATTACGGCCTACCTCCCCGTTTGGATCACAGAGGAGCTGGAAAGGTTTGGGAGTTACACAGGCATGATTTGAGTCTCAGGTCTGACTCCCATTGGGTGACCTTAGGCCAATAACTCCTCAGTTATGTTATCAAAGTTCAGGGTTTTGTTTTGTTTTCACCTGTAAAATGAGATGATAATTTATATGCTAAAGTGCACATAGAGTAAAATAATGTATGCAAAATATGTAGTTATTTTGGTTCTCTACTTTTCTTCTTCCCCTTTCCTCCTCCTCCTCCTCCTCCTCCTCCTCCTCCTCCTCCTCCTCCTCCTCCTCCTCCTCCTCCTCCTCCTCCTCCTCTTTCTCTTCCTGTCCTTCTTTTTTCCCTACAATGTCCTATGATTTTTCTAACTAAAATATCATGGGAAAATAGTATAGACATAAAGCATCTCAGTACCAAACGCTACTGCCCTAGGCTATGATTGGTGACAAGAATACCAAGATAGGGAAATGAACTCTTGGAGGCACCTGAGTAGCTGGACCCTGGGGCTGGTTACCTTTGATCCTAATCATGATTATCTTATTCTTCTCAGATTTCTGTGCCACACAAATATAATTCTCTACATGTGTCATAACGTGAAAAAATATTGCAAAGCACTGAAATAGGAGCAAAGAAACAAAATATTAAAAATTAGGGCCTTAGGGGTCCCAAATGTAATTTTTCTGTCTTGTGTCCTCACTAGGGGTTTGTGTCCCCATCCCCTATAAATCTGGCTCTGATTACTCTTGGCTTTGGGGAATGGATGGAGACGTTCTGGTGGGCAGCAAGGGGTCAGCTTTAACTAAGGTGGAGACACTGGCCTTAATGCTTTGTAGTTATCTCAAAAGACTGCGTGAGTGCCGGCCCACTCTGATGGCGTGGGAACCTTTAGGAGAGGCTGGGCGCCAGATGGCTGATTCAGCAGGGGTCCAGACCCCTTGTATAAAGGCTGAAGCCCTGGTACCCACTCAGCCTTCTTTCTCCAAATTGTGTTCTGTGCAATATTCATTCCACAAGCTGCTCCTCAGAAAAAAAGTGATGCCAAGTAAGTTTGGGAAAGGCTACTTCAGCCCCTATTTCTTGGAAACTCATAGTAACCTCTACATTGAAGTCTACAAGATGTCTGCCGAGCAAACATCACTGGACTCAGTGTCTTCCAACTTTTTTTTTTTTTCATACTGGGGATCGAACTCGGGACCTTGTGCTTGCAAGGCAGGCGGCAGAACCACTGAGCTAAATCCCCAGCCCAAAACCATGGTTTTCCCCACTCTTTTTTTTTTTTTTTTTGGTACCGGGGATTGAACTTGGGACCTTGCGCTTACACGGCAGGCATCGAAACCACCGAGCTAAATCCCCGGCCTGTGTCTTCCAAACTCATTTGACCTCAGAACTTTTTCATGCAGGGTATTTATTAGGGAGCCCCTTTTGGGAAATGCTGCAGTAGCTGAACCCCAGTTTGTTTGGGATTATATGGGAAATGGTTCTACCCACCCCGGGGCTTTCCCACTAGGCTACTAGAACCCAGATCTTTGGAGTATCTACTTTTCAGTGGTTTTTCAGTTTTTTTTTTTTTTTTTTTGCCATGAGTCCTTTCCGAATAGAAGCGTCCTGTGCACCCTGCAGTACATTGTGACACCTGCTTGCATAGGGTTTGGGAGGATGTACAGGGAAAGCCTCCCTCTGGGCAGTGGGATTGGTGGGGACAGAGAGTTCATCTTCACTTTATATTCTTTTATACTTGGCTGTCAGAGTAGTTTTTATTTTTGTAGTAACAGTAGATTTAAACAACTCTAAAATTTCATAATGACACTAAGAAACCTCATGCTAGAGCCTAGCATGTATATCAGGTGGAACAGAGCTGGTCTCCTGGAGGCTGAGCCAGGAGCATGGTCACCTTCCTCTGCCTCCCTAAGGACCCCTGGCCCATGTGGAAATCCATTCTTTTGTCCCCTTCCCTAGCTTACCACTTAGGGAAAAGAAATCCCAGACAGGAAAGGGGTGACTTGCTCCAAGTAAGTGGGTACCAGAAGTGAGATAAGAGGCCAGGCCCCCAACTGCATCATTTCCTTCCCCTACTGTTCTCACCCTGCCTGCCCTCCCAGCTGTTGGCCAATTGCTCTTAGGCCTGACGAGTCCCACCCCTACAGGTTGGACAGGGACTTGAACCGGCTCCCTCAGGACCTGTACCACGCCCGTTGCCTGTGCCCACACTGTGTCAGCCTACAGACAGGCTCCCACATGGACTCCCTGGGCAACTCGGAGCTGCTCTACCACAACCAGACTGTCTTCTACCGGCGGCCATGCCACGGTGAGCGTGGTGCCCACCATGGCTACTGCCTGGAGCGCAGGCTCTACCGTGTGTCCCTGGCTTGCGTGTGTGTGCGACCCCGGGTGATGGCCTAGTCGTGCCTGCTGTCTGCCTGAGGCTGCTCCCTGGAGCACAACTGGAGACGGGTGGACAGAGACCTTGCCACAGTGGGCCAGCGTACCTGGACTCTCAGTCCCTCCAAGGCACTACCTGGAGCAGCAGAACCCTGGGACAGATGGTGGCCGGAGGAGGAACCTACACATTTGCACTTTTTGAAAGCACTTTCAGAAGAGAACAGCTGGAGCTTCTGCTGCTAGAAGCTGGTGTCTTGGCATTTCCTCTCAGGAAAGGCCTTCAAAGCTCTGCCCATTTCTGGAGGCCACACTTCTGTCTCTTTCCTCCTATCTCCAGCTGCCCTTGCCCAGCACAGGCACTTTCTTGATTTTTTTTCCCCTTTGCCCCTCATTTCTCTTGTTCATTCATTCATCAAATACTCAGTGGGGACCTACTTTGCCTCCATCCTGGTGTAGTTACTAGTCCTTTGACATGGATCATTCTGAGGAAGAAGCTGTTATTGGACATGGAGAGATTTATCCAAATAAACATCCGCGTTTAAAAATGATCTAATTTGTCTTTGGTGCCCACGATGGCTGAATATCCTGTGGTCCTCAGCCTGGTCCCTTTTCCTTCTCCCCACCAGCCCTCCCTACCCTACAGAGTTTCCCTTGCACCCTCCCATCTCCTCCCTCTCTGGCTCTCTGGTCCATCCCTGAACAGCAGCCTGCTGGAGAGACAGAGGCCCATTGAGGCACTGCAGTAGGCACACAGCGCCCCCTTGTCTTTCTGACAATCTGCCTTTGTCCTCTGGTCCTGGCTGCTGCAGCTTGGTCCTAGGGGTTGCTGCCTGGGCCGGGCTCCAGCTCCCACCCTCTCCAAAAGGAAAAGGGAGAAAGGACCAGCCAAGGAAAAGGGCTGAAGTTATGGGAGGGGGTCACAAACTTCTTCAGGCTTGGGCCATGGAGAGGCTCCTATCCCTGCCTGTCTCTCGTCTCACCTCCCAGCTCCTGGGTGTTATTTTTTTTCCCCTGCCCTCTCCTCTTTTCCTTCCTTCTCCCCTTCTCCAGGGCTGGGCTGGACTCAAGTAAGGGGAGGGTTAACCTTGTCTCCCTCCTCCCCCTGTTCTCCAAGGGGCCAGTGCAGGCCACATAGCAAAGACACTCTGGGCAGCTGGGTGAAGGCAGGCAGGCCTTTCTGCTTCACGGTCAGGTTTCTGGAAGCGCCTTCTCGCTCCTGTCTGCTTTCCTATCCTGAGAACTTTCTGTTGCTCTTCCTGAGCTGGTAGCCACGGCAGGGGGCTGTGGCCTGTGGGCCCTACAGAGATGTTCAGTGCTTGGGATCGCCGGGACCGGCCCCCTGAAGAAGCGCCAGCTTCAGGGCTCCACGGCTTCACCATGGACAAGACCTTCCTCTCTTCCCTCAAAGGCATCCTGCTGGAAACGGAGCTGGTAACAGCTGCCTCCCCATCCTGGTGCCTCCATCCCTCCCCTGGCCAGCTCTTTCGCTCAGCTCTGTTCTGGTCCCCCAGGCTCACTGCTTGGCACCCCCTTCCCAAGCTTTCTGGATACTTCCGGCCGTAGCTGTGTCTTTGCCTCCCGTTTGGCCTTCCTGCTGCCTCTCTACCTGGAGGTGTCTGCAGCAGGTTTCAGTTGTAGCAGGACAGACTGAAATTAGACAGAGGACAGCATTCTTCAATGTGGAGGGAGTGTGAGACATGGGGATGGGACAGAGGTCTCTTCTCAGTCACTGCAGTAGCCACTTCTTGGGCACGAAGTGCAACTATCAAAAAGGGCAGACTTCCTGCAGCCATGCTTTACCCTTTGGCTGCTGCCCATGAGCATCTGTTCTCAGGAAAAGCTCTGCCCTGGTTACTTAGCAAGATCACAGCATAAATCTGAGCCTCTGCTTATCTGCCATACTACGTTTCGGGGGAGCTCCTGCCTCCTGAGCCTTTTCTCTTGGCATGGAGTCAGAGCTCCAGTTTTTGTCAGTGGAGTTCCAGGCGTCTGAGGGTGGGGACAGCATTATGGAGCAGGGAGTGACTCCCGAGGTGCAGTGCTGCTGTGGGCACAACATATAGACTCGGTGCTCCTGGGGACACTGCATTGGTGGACCACCAGAGGCACACTTTTTTTTTTCGTATCGGGGATCAAACTCGGGACCTTGCGCTTGGGAGGCAAGCAGTGGAACCACTGAGCTAAATCCCGGCCCAGGACCACCATAGGCCAGTGCCCCTGGAGCTGTGTGGTATGGCCTAACCTCTGGGGTCCCTGAGATCCCTGGGCTGGCAGGGGTTGGGGGCTAGAGGGTGGTAGGTCCAAGGATCCACCACAGACAGGTATTGGATGCCAGCTGGGGTGGGGGCTGTGTCTTGAGGAGAGGAAGGTCAAGGCCTGGCCTGTGTGCCTGCTTCCTGGCCAGCTCCCCGTTCTTGGTCCTGCAGGCCCTGACCTTCATCATCTTCATCTGCTTCACGGCTTCCATTTCTGCCTACATGGCCGCAGCACTGCTGGAGTTCTTCATTACACTTGCCTTCCTCTTCCTCTATGCCACCCAGTACTACCAGCGCTTCGATCGACTTAACTGGCCCTGCCTGGTAAGCAACACTGCCTCCCTTACTCCGTCCTGGTCTCTTCCTTTCCCTCACTCACTGAGTTTTCCTTTTTTCTCCCAGCTTCTCTCCATATCCATGCCCCACTGGGCTATGCCCTATACTGTACCCTGAACTCAGAACTATGCTTTGGCCCACACTGGTTTCATAGCTGTAGTGTCCCTGTGCATGAGAACATCCATATATCCTTAGCTCTCTCTCCTACTCATCAGCCCTTAGCTCTGCCCAGCTGTGCCAGCTGGTGTGCTCCATCTGCTGGCCAGGGCCAGTCCTCCGCCCTTACCCTAGTCCCTGGCTGCTCTGGATTCACCTGCTGCCATTCCCTGGGCAGCCTGTTGAGCTCTGTCCCCTGAAAGTGCTTTATATATGTCCAGGGGCATCTTCATGTAGGGATTCAGAATCCCAACCTCAAAGTGATGCCCCTTGCCTTCTGATATCACCCTCCTGCTCTCCAGGACTTCCTCCGCTGTGTCAGTGCCATCATTATCTTCCTGGTGGTCTCCTTTGCTGCTGTGACCTCCCGGGAGGGAGCTGCCATTGCTGCTTTTGTGAGTTCAGCCCCTCAGGGCCTCTGGCCAGTGTTGTCACCCTTCCTGCATCCAAAGCCAAAGCTTCAGGCTGGGAATGTAGCTGTGTTGCATGCTTGGCCAGCACAGGCAAGGCCCTGGACTTGATTCCCAGTATGGCAAAAACCAGCAAACAAAGACACTGGGTTCAGTGCTTGGGGTCTGGGTTGCTCCTCATACCATACCGTCTACCACCCTTTCTTCCTTAATTCAGTGGCCCGAATCCTCTGCCGTGCCATCTCTGCTCCTCCTCCCACAGGTTTTTGGTATCATCCTGGTTTCTGTCTTTGTCTACGATGCCTTCAAGATATATCAGACTGAAATGGTGTCCAGGCCCACTGAGGGTGAGTGCCCGTGCACTGAGAGAGAAGCCCCCAACCCCACCCCAGCTACCCCAGCCTGACACGGCTTCCCTGCCTAACTCAATTTTCACAGGAGACCAGCAGTGACTCTGAAGCTACCTGGCTCTGAAGCCCAGTTGGACACAGGAGACTACAGAGCTCAGACACAGCTCCTTGTATTCACAGAACACCCAGCCCACAGTCCCCCACACCTGGCTGAGAAGTCACTGAGGATGTATCTGTGGAGCCTGGTGCTGTGAGATCTGGCCTCTGATGAGGTTCTGAGGTGGGGGGGGGGGGGGGGTGGGGGGCGGTGGGGGGTGTGCTGGTAGTTGTGTTGGAGGTGGTTGCCGGATTGGGCTATTTTGGTTCTGGTGTCTGGTCTTTTTCTTGTGTGATTTGGCCTCTTCTTCCTTTCCTGGCGCCTTTGTTGTCCTTTTGTCTGGCATGTTTGTCTCCCTCTTGGCTCAGTTGTGTGCCTTGCGGTGGTTGTGGTCTGGTTGAAGTGCTGGAGTGTGCGTCCCGGGCTGGAGTTTTTGGCCACAGGTTGGGGGGTCTGGGGGGGTGGCACTTTTGCACATGTTGTCTGTTTTCTGCCTGGGTGCTATGCTTTGTGTCTGTCCCTGTGTGTGTGCTTCGTTGTCGTTTTCCTGTGTGGCGATGTCTGAGTCTGCCTTTGCCTCTTATTCTGTTGGGCCCTTTTCTCTGCCCATGTTGGGGTCTTTGTTTGGGGTCTGTGTTGTTTTCCCCGTGGTTTTGTGGCTCTGGGTTTGGTTGGACTTTGTCTGGGCATGTTGCGTTGTGTTCCTCATTGGGCTCTTTCTGGCCTTGCTGGTCCTTTGCTTTCCTTTCTCCTTTAGTTGCCTTTGTGCTTTGGTTCTTTGTTTTGGCCAGTGTGCTCTGTGTCAGTTCTTTGCTTTTTTGTGTCCCAGGTTCGGTTCCATTTCCTCTTTTTTGTGTGCTGACCTGGTTCTTTTTTTCCTTTAGTACTTCGCGTTGGGGTTTGGACTCCGCTGGTTCTGGCTTCTCTTCAGCTCTTTCTCTTGGTTTCTTAGTTTCTGGTTGTTTAGTTTCTCTGGGCTTGTTTGGTGATCTTCTTTTTCGTGGTGTCCTTTTTTTTGTCTTCTGGTTTCTTCGTTGCTTTGCAGGTCTGTTTCTGGGCCGTGGTGGGTTGGTAGGGAGGGCGGCTGGTGTAGGGTTTTGGGTGGTAGCTGGGAGGGGCCAGGTTGTTTCTGAGGGTCTTTGATGTTCGCTTTTTCTTTCTTTGTGTCTCTTTGCTGTGTTGTCTGTGTTGCTCCATTGTTGCCCGGTCTTCTTTGCTGGCCTGCGGCGCTGGGCTTTGCTTCGCTCTTTTGTTCTCTCTTTGTTTGCTTTCTGCTGCCCTGCTGTTTTGTCCTTTTTCCTCTGCGGTTTTCTTTCCCGTTGCCTTTGTTCTGTGTGCTTTTTTTGTGGTTCCTGGCTCTTGAAGTGTTTTGTGGGGCTGTTGTGCTTTGGTGGTGGGGTGTCCTCTCTTTGACTTTGTCTTGGTCTTGTTTCGTTTTCTCGTGGTTGTTTTGTGTCTTCTTGTCTTCCTGGGCCGCCTTTCCTGGCCTGCTCTCCGGGGTCCGGTTGTGCTGGCTTTCTTGGTTGTGTCAGGTTTGCTTAGCTTTCTGCGGCTTTGTGCTTCGTTCATTTTCCAGGCTGGTTGTCTTCTTTTGTGTGTGGTCTTGGCTGGGCTCTGCCTTCTCGGGTTGTTCTTCGGGCTGCTTGTCTTGGGGTTTTTTGTCTTGCGTGGCCGGTGAATGCCTTCTTCTGTGGTCTGGAGAGGCTTGGCCTTGTGCCTGGGAGGGCCAGTGGTTTGCTTGGGGGAGGTGTTGGGGACTGTTTTGGTCTGCTGTGCGGCTTTGTGGGCGTTTCTGACGGGGGGCCGGGCGATGGGCTAAGTGTGTTTTGTTGTGGTGTGTGTGTGGCTGTGCGTGGGTCTGTGCTGCTTGTTTTTTTTGGAGGCGTGTTTGGATGAGCGGTGTGCTCGCTGTGTCTTGTTTTGGGCTTGTGTTGGGTTGGCCTCGGGGTGCTTTGCCTGCCGCTGTTTGCGGTTTTGCCCGGCCGCGGTTGGGTCCTTGTCTGGGGCTGCTCGCGTGGCGCTCGCTGTGGTTTTCTTCGTGGGGGCTGGTTTTATCGGAGCTTTTGTGCATGCTTTTTGTTGCTCTGGGTGCTCTCCGGCCCTTAAGCTGTTCTGGTATGTGTGGTTTTCTCTTTTTGGGGCTGCCGGTGTTTTGGGAGGGCTGGGACGCGTTTTGTCTCCTCTTTGTTGTATTTGGCTGGTGTTTTTGGCTTGGGGTCCACAGTTTTGGGTTTCTCTTTGTGTCTTTGCCTCATCGTGTTGTGCGTTTTTTTCGTCTGCTTTTTGACTGTTTCCTTCTCTTGCGTTGTGTGGTTGCCTTTGCCGGGGTGGGTCTTTTGCTGTTCGCCTGGGCCCTTGTCTGGTCTTGGTTTCCTCCTCTGTGGATGTTTGATGTTTTGGGCCCCTTGGTTTGTTTTTTTTGTTTGTGGGTGCTGTTCTCTTGGGCCTGGGTCTGTGGTGTTCCTTGGTGCCGTTCTGATTGGGCGGATCAAGGTTTGGGGTGTGTAGTGTTCGTTCCTTGTGTTTTTTGTGGATTAGCGTTCGCGTTGTTTTTTGGGCGGTGTGTGTTTTCGTGGTGGGTTTTTTGCTGGGAGGGTGATACGAGGTGTGTGGGTGGGTGGGGGGGTCTTGTGAGGCCTGCTTGGGGCTTGGTGGTGGGTTTGGTTTGGATAGTGGCTTAGATTGGGTGAGTTTATTTTGGTGTTTTTTGGTTGCCGATGGTCGTGGTGCTTGGATTCTCGGGGTCAGTGCTTGTTGTTTCTGGAGGGGTTTTAGTCTTCGGGAGGTGCTGTGTGTCGTTGGGTTGTTTTGCTTGGTTGATTACTTGGGGACCTTTATGGCTGTGCTGGTTTCGTGTTGTGCGTTTGTTTTGTGTGGGGCTGAGGTCGGAGGTGTTGCTGATGTGGGGGTGACTGCTGAAGCCCAGGGAAGGGACCCACCTTGGTGCCAATGTCGCGGCTCTTGGCCCGCAGCTTGTTGACTTGGGACTCGGCAATGTCTGCCCGCTCCTCCGCCTCATCAAGCTCATGCTGCACCTTGCGGAACTTGGACAGGTTGGTGTTGGCCTGCTCCTCCTGTGGGCAGAGGGGGGGTGGGTCAGAGGGGCCACGGGGAGCGGATATTTCCAGTCTCTCAGCCCGAACCACTCGCTCTGCCCCGGACCACACACTCCTCAGCCATGTTCCTGTTCCTTCCCAAGGGACTCCTGCCCCTGGCTTGGCACCTTCCTCAAACTTGTCCAGCACTCAGAATCCTTCAGGGCTACTCACAGCTCAGGACAAATAGCATGCAGGCTGGTGTGACCCCCCCACCCTTCTGCTTCCCTGTATCTGTTCCAATCGTGGCTTGGCTAGATGCTGGTTGACCCTCGCTTTCCTGCATAGGTGTGCTCATCCCACCTCAAGTCCACATTTTCCTGCCTGCCCAGATATCTTCTTACTGCCTTGCGCCGAGTCAGATCCCCTTCCTGGCCTGATTCCAGCTCCACAGCCACTTTCCTACCTTCAGCGCCATCTGCCCCTGTCTCACATCACATCTCCACCACCTTCTCTTGGATTTAAGGTGTATGGAGTATAAGCTGAGGCAGGCAGGTGCAGGGGCAGATGCAGCATTGCTTCTGTGAACTCAGATTGCCTGACACACTTCTGAGCATACTGGACACATAAAATAAATGCTTTTAGAGAGTTAAAAGATTAGCACAGAGCTTTGTCCAGGTCCTGCTGTGGCAGATATTCATCGGCTCTCACATAGTAGGAGTGCTGATGACGGGGAGGAAAACCACAAACTCACCGCCTCCTCAGCCTGGCGCTTGTAGGCCTTGACCTTCAGCTGCAGCTTGTCCACCAGGTCCTGCAGCCGCAGCAGGTTCTTCTTGTCCTCCTCGGTCTGGGGGAGGTGGGTGAGAGAAGACAGTTTTGGGGAGGAGCAAGTACAATTCCTTTTCCCTCCTCACTCTATGCCACTGTTCTCCTGAGGCCTCAGTTGCAACTCCTTCCAGCGGCCCAGGTCAAGGAGGTGGTGAGGAAGATTCTATCTCTGATGCCACTTGCAGGTGAAAGGGACAAGGCAGGTCTCTCAGTCAGGAATGCACAAAGCAGCGAGGTTCTAAAGCTGGAGATGGAGGGAGGATCTCAGGACCAAAGGGAATTCCATGACATGGTCATACAGAGGCACATGATCTGTTCCAGCCTCAGTTTTCTGGATAGAGCTCCCACCTGGAGCAACACGAGGTGACCAGAAGAGTACTAATGAGAAGGCAGAAAGAAGGGGGGGGGCATTATCATTGCTCAGATTATTCTAATCTACCATAGCCCAATATTCTAATTCACTGTACTGGGCCAGAGTTCAGGTACCAGGATCACTGGTTTCCAGGTCACTTGATTGTTCCTATCTCCATATTATCCTAAGTGCTAGGACACCATTTCTATTGTGCTCATGCCAAGTTTTGCTTCTACACCTGTAGTCTCTTTCCTGTGCCTCTGGTGTCCACCTGTCAAATGGAGCAACACTTCTGTCTCCTCAGTTTTTCCTTCCCAGGACATTGTGAAAATAGCAGGTCAAGGGCTGGGGATTTAGCTCAGTGGTTTCGATGCCTGCTATGCAAGCACAAGGACCCGAGTTCGATCCCTGGTACCAAAAAAAAAAAAAAAAAAAAAAGAAAATAACAGGTCAGGGGCAAAAACTGACTTGGGAGATAGAGATAATAGAATATTCTGAGATCTTTTACTAGGTATTCTCTTACTTGTCTCAGAGCTTCCATGGAAGATTGACAAGTCTCTTTCCATCACCTGACATTTGTTCCTAAACCACATGACCTCCTTCCCTGTCAGGATGGTAGAAGGTAAAAGATTCTTTGGACTGTTTTGAAGCCTTCATGGTAGCACTTTGAGTTATTAAAAATCTGAGGAAATGTTGGTAAATGAGATTTCAGGAAGTAGAAGTAGATTCTTCTTTGCTACAAAAATTTATGGACTCAAGCTGAAGTGACCTCAGAGAACGTGAAAGGAAATGAATCTACTGACAGCATCTTAAAGACAGGAGGCGTGCTTGGTATTCCTGGAAGGTGGCTCATCAGGGGCCCTGTGTGTGCCAGGAAGTGGAGCTGGAGAAACTGCTGCCATGTTTACTCCCAATGCCTCCACCCGCACCTGGTAGGTGAGCTCCTTGATGCGCCGCTCACTCTTCCTCATGCCCTTGACTGATTCCGCGTTGCGCTTCTGCTCAGCCTCCAGCTCGTTCTCCAGCTCCCGCACCCGGGCCTCCAGCTTCTGCAGCTGCTTCTTGCCACCCTTGAGGGCAATCTGCTCGGCCTCGTCCAGCCGGTGCTGCAGGTCCTTAATGGTCTGCTCCATGTTCTTCTTCATGCGCTCCAGGTGGGCGCTCGTGTCCTGCTCCTTCTTCAGCTCCTCTGCCATCATGGCGGCCTGTGCACAGGAGACAGGATGAAGGTCCTGAGTCTGGGCCCGGGTGGGCCTCTTCCCTCCTGAGGAGGGAACTGCAGAGTCACACGGTCACAGCAGCACAGTGGCCTGGCCTGGACGAGGCCTGCCTTTGTGTCTGGAGGGAAGGCGGGAAGAGGGAGACTCACATCCGTGATGGCTTTCTTGGCCTTCTCCTCAGCGTTCCTGCACTCTTGCACGGCCTCCTCGACTTCAGTCTGGAGTTGGGACAGGTCTGCATCCATCTTCTTCTTCTGGTTGATGAGGCTGGTGTTCTAGGGGTGGAGAGTAGGCACAGAGGAGAGGCACTGAGCATCCCTGAGCAGCTCCCACCCTTACTTGCTGAGTTCTGCTGGCCTGAGCTCCCTCCAATGTGCACAAAGGGGCACTGCCCACCTGGGAGTGCAGCAGCTGCACCCGCTCACTGGTCTCGATCAGCTCCTGCTCAGCCAGCTTCCGAGACCTCTCTGTCTGCTCCACCACGGCGCGCAGCTCCTCCAGCTCAGCCAGCAGCAGTGTGTTGCGCCGCTCCACGATGGCGATGTTCTCCTTCAGGTCATCGTTGGCCCGGACTGCGTCATCCAGCTGGATCTGGGTGTCCTGAGGGGAATACGTGATGGGGAGAGGCCTGAACCTCATACTCCCTGCACCCTCAGTGGGGTCTGACGTGTCCCACATTCATCAATCTCTTGTCACCTGGAGGACACCTGTCATCCCTCATCTATTCTCTAGTCAGGGCACACTGTCAAGCTTTCAAATTGAAGAGGTACATGGCTCCCACTTTCTCATATTTGTTGTCCCAAGACTCTTCTGGCCTTCACCATTCCCTTGGGCACCCGTTTGCTCTGACTCGCCCCCCTTCTGAGAGCCCCAACTCCTGTTACTTTCAGATGCGCTTGGGCGATTTTCAGGTGCTTCTGGCCTTCTGATGCTGTTCTGTTGGCCTGGCTGAGCTGGATCTCCATCTCATTGAGGTCGCCCTCCATCTTCTTCTTCACCCGCAGCGCCTCATTGCGGCTGCGTGTCTCTGCATCCAGCGAGGTCTGCAGCGAGTCCACCACCCGCAGGTGGTTGCGCTTGGCCTGCTCCATCTCCTCATCCTTCTCTGCCAGCTTCCGCTCGATCTCTGCCTTAACTTGGCTGAACTCTAGCTGAGCGCGGAGGATCTTGCCCTCCTCATGCTCCAGGGAGGCCTAGGGGTGGTGGTGGAGGAAGACAGTCAGGGCCAGGGCAGAGTGGGAGAGGGAGGCCAAGAGGCTGCAGGCATCAGCCAGGACTGAGGCCTGGAGAAGAGTACGAAGAGATGGGGAGGGTGGCCCTGCACCCCAGGTTGCTGTGGGGGAGGGAGTGCTACATTCCCTGGGCTTCCTGACTCCTGAGGCTTCCTCTGTGAAGGAGTTTGGACTCCCCATTACCAGATCCTTGGTACTAACATGGGAGAAATTCCTGACCCACCTAAAAAAATCACAGAAAAGGGAGAGATTTCTATATCCACAAATCCAAAACCCTCTTTGTTCTTTGCTTCCCTAGTCACTCATCATTTTTTATTTTCCAAACTTGGGATTGAACCCAGGGCCTTCACACTGAGCTACATTTTATTTTTTGAGACAGCATCTCAGTAAGTTTCCCAGGCTGGGCTAAAACTTGCCATACTCCTGCCTCAGGCTCCCAGAGTGCTGGTATTACAGGTATGTACCTCTATGCCCAGCCTTGGAGCTATTTCCAGTTTCTTAAAAATGCACAGTAACAATAACTAACATATATTAAATGTTTGAGTGTGTAACCTCATTTAATTGTGAACACAATCTTGTGAGGTATGTACACTATTTCCATCTTACAGTTAAGGATGCTGAGGCACAGAGAGGTTAAGGACTTTGCCCAAGAGGAGCCCAGTGGAGCCCATGTCCCGCCTCACTGTCTGGGTAACGGCTTCAGGAAACCTGGCAAGAAACAAAATCTTCTGGCCTGAAATGAGACTGTGACCTTTTCCTTGGGCAGAGTCTGCTTTGGAGGTTGTCATCAGGAGTGGAGAGTGGATGACCTTATACCCAGAGCAGGAGCCAACAGGTTCTGCCCTGGTTCAGGGGCGCTCCCAGGTGAAGGTGAGGTGGAGACAGCAGCGTGTGCTGGGGAGCAGGTGGAGAGATCCAGGCTCTCACCTCGGCCTCCTCTAGCGCCGCCTGCAGCTCCAGCTTCTCCACCTCCAGCTGCTTTCGGATCTTCTCCAGCTCATGCACGTTCTTTCCTCCTTCCCCCAGCTGCTCAGTCAGGTCTGAGATCTCCTCTGGGGGTCAGAGAGCAAGAAAGCTCAAACGTCTGAATCACTTCTGGCCCCCACCATGGGGACATGACCCCTCTGGCCCCCCAGCCCCTGGGGCAGCGCACCCTGCAGGTTCTTGTTCTCCCGCTTGAAGGTCTCCAGGTGCTCCAGGGACTCCTCATATGCATTCTTGAG